ATCGCTCTTCTTTCGGACGTCGGCGGCACCTCCATCCGCAGGGAAATCGTGAATGCGGGGGGCATCAATATCTTGAAACAAATTGGTGGCAAGGCAGCCAGACCAGATGTCGTCAAGGCTTGCAATCTGGCTGTGACAAGTATCAACGGAAGTCTGTGGTCGAGGAACGCGGCGAGCGCAAAAGCTGCTATGGCTCATGAGTGGAGCGGCGGCTGTCCAGACCACCTTCCAGAATGTCCTGTACCGCTGCATGACTGGGAACCGGAAACGAACGACGGCTGGTGATTTTTAAGGAGGTGTTTATCTTTATTCAAACGCTTCACTGTAAAGTACTGTAGATTATAGGTCGTGTAGCCTTTCTTTCGAAGAATTGTAGCCACTGTTTCTGGGGTGTTTATTTTCTTCGAATCGGTCACCTGATCGCGATTTGCAAGTTGCGCCACGATCTCTGCGCGTTGCTGGCGCGCGCGGCGTACTGAATACTGCACCTATGCCACCAGTCAAGGGCAGACAAACCCGGAAACTTACCCGTTGTTGGACATTTCCACTTTGGTGGAAATGCAGCAGCCGTTTACTATCCTCTCGGATGGTCGCAAGAGAAAACGAGCCTCCGCATTCTGTGTCGACGTTCTCAGTGACGCGTTCGAGGGTGGCCAAGAACGTTGTTTCCTCAAAATTGTGAGGGTTCACTATTCTGCCACTCAATTCGCTCAAATTCTATGATGGAAGTTCCTAGTTGATGCCGCGAACACGGCTTGCTTCAAAGCAGAATGCGAAGCAAACCACGCGTTGCATCAGCATGCATCTGAGAATACCAAGGTCCTTACCGGAAAGCAGCCGCTGGAAGTATTCAAAACCCATCTCCAACTATCCAATGGCAAGCATCGCCTTTCCTGGCCGCTGTGTTACGGCTACATATCCGTGGAGGATCCCTTCTTTCAGCCGCCAGTAAAGAAGCGTCAAAATGGTCCCGAACAGCCGGTGCCGCAATTGCACGGCCTCTTGTTCCAATATTACGAAGACCTCACGCTCGTTTCGCCGGATGATATCGACGACGGCGGAGTGATGGAGGCTAAGATATTGGCTGCACTGGCTCCGATTCACCCCGCGCGTATTCTTCATCGGGATCTTGAGGAAAGGACTGTTTGGCCGGAAGCAGGCTTCCGGAACATTTTTCTGAAAGATGTCAGAGAACCCGTAATTTTGGATTTCGACCATTCACAAATGATTCAGGAAAGGGACGAAAAGCGACTTCAGGAAGAAGAAACTCAGATGCAAGAGTTAATGGCGAAGGCTGTGGAAAGTCGGGGACGCGAGAAGGGGTGGGGATTGAGCAAGGAAGTCCTGAGGTTGTTGTAATGTTCTCTTCCGTTCAGATCTGTACTGTATCTTCACAAATTATCATTTGTGTGACGTTTAATTACTTTGACAGTTTAACAACAAGATGCGGTGCAAGATATGGTAGCCGCGCGGTGGAAATTACAGGTAACAATCGCCAGGAGGCCCAAGCTAGTTTACCTTATGCAGCGTTGGAACCCTTTCTAAGGAAGAGAAAGATGCCAGAAACGCCAGAAATAAGAAACGCGCACACCGAAACAATCGACCCAGCCCGCAGCACGCGGCAGACCGAGGTCGGGGAAAGAAAAAGAGCGGAAGCGTGTCTCGACTTCGGTGCTTTTGCCAAAGCGCGAAAGAGAGCGCGAGGAAGAGGCGCTGCTTCCCCGCTCCCTAATGCGACAGAGTATGTGAAACAAGCCACCCCCAGAATCCGCCGCAAAGATGGATGCCCCCCGCGCACCCAAGTCCCCCGCGTGGCGGGAGATACATCACCACGACATGGAGGTATGGCGACGAAAATCTCGCCGCCGGACGCTCGCAGGAAAACGCAGTGAAATTGAACGCCTCAAACTGACACCACACCATCGGCACCCCCAGGACAAGCCAGGGCTGCAAGCCGACGACGACCCGAACATGGAACGCTCGAGGGCCACTCTGCACGGAAATAGATCGACGAAAGAATCCCCAAACACCGCCGCGTACGCGAAGCCCGCCCGAAGGAGAAAGCGAAAAACGCATAAACACGTGAAAGGTGGAATGCAAAACGTCGTCGCCGCTCGACGCTCGATGCACCCAACGGCAAAGAAAGTAGAAGTAGAAGTGAAGAGCAGACGGCGGGGGGAGGGTTATCGCGGCACGCGGGGGCGTTATCGCGCCATGAGACGGGCGATGACGCAAGAGACGCCGGGAGCGGAAACGCGCCCGCCGAAGGAAGAAAGAAATCTTTTCGGGTGGCACGCGATCCGGAGCACGCAGCACAGAACACTGCAGAAAGGGGAGGCGCCTCTTCGCGTGTCTCACACCAACCGAGAGGGGAGCGATGTCTCGGGCCGACGGAAAAAAAGGAGGCGAGTAGCAGAGAAGGAAGAAAAAAGGGAGCGAGGGGCGAGGGGCGAGGGGCGAGGACACGCACATGAGGATGGAGACGGTTGCAACGTCGATAGGATAGAATGTGAGCGCAAAGTTGCAGCCGAGGATGTACCAGAGCGTCCCGTTTGTGCCCGTCTACACCGCAGTTAGCTCAGCTTGAATGCCGTGAAAGAGGGAGTGCGCACCCGCTCGCTCTCGCGCATAAGGAAGCCGAGCAGGCGCTCGTATACGCGCTCGACGGCGGGGACTCGCAGACGCACGACGTCCGTGGGGGCGATTACGGCGAGCGCCGACCACAGCACGACGGTCACCGTCCGCGGGGCGATGCTCGGCGTCAGATACAGGCCCAGTGTTATGAAGCCTGCATGGATAGACCGTTAGCACCACATTATTGAAGAGAGAAAGCGAATGCCACCGACCGATAGACGAATGGAACACCTTGCGCGGGATCTCCCAGTCAATCTTCTTCACCTCCGGCTGCGCCCGCTGCTTCCCCTGCCGCTTGTCTGCGCGCAACGCAGCGGCGACCTCTGTCTCGTCCTCCATCTCGTGGTGCTCGTCGTCTGGGACGTCCTCTATGGCGTGGCCGAGGCCTTCGAGGGTGCGGATGACCTTGCGGGTGACGACTTGGACGCTGCCGGTGGAGGGCGACGGGCTGGCGGAGGAGCGGCGGCGGTGGGCGGGAGGAGGAGATTGGCTCAAGGACATTTAGTGAGAGGAGAAGTCCGTCCGTCACACACCGTCACACTCGGAGGATGACTAAATGGGATGACTCGGCGATTGTTCTTCCTGTGCTAGGAATCGCCGGTGCGCGTCTGCGAAATTTCCAGCCGTCTCAAACCAGCTTACGCAGAGGGCCCCGTTCGATTCGGGGTCGGGCCATGCACTCGAAGTCCGTCTTTTTTTTTTCAACAGAGGCAATTGCAAAGGTAAGTACGGCTGTGACGAGTTCACGTTGTAAATGCCCTCTCGTCACCGTTTCTACTCAATGCATTCAACGGCGTAGCCAGAGCACTAACACCCAGTAGCACATGGTGTGCATCTGCATATCTTGCGACACGGGCAATGCACGAGACAATTATGCAGCGGACCCCCGTTCGATTCGGGGCTGGGTGATTTCAATTCTTTGACCACGATCTTTTTCTGGTAGGTCATCCCTAATTATCATATTCCGTCGCTGGCCTGACCTTGCTATTTTTGCCCGTAAACAGTGGCGCATAGGCATACGTAGAGCATAAGCTTGCAGGAATTAAATCCACCTCACCCGTCAGCATGTACAACTTGATTCAATGCTGAGGTGAATTTAACGACGCAGAACACTATCTGACCACCCGGTAGCACACGGTGTGCACCTGTATACAATGAATTTTCCCTCCGAGCAGATTATGCAGAAGGCCCCCGTTCGATTCGGGGCTGGGTGATTTCAATTCTTCGACCACGGGTCTTTTTTCTGGTAGGTCATCCTCAATTATCACATTCCGTCGCTGACCTGACCTTGCTATTTTTTGCCCGCAAACAGTGGCGCATAAGCACAAGGCACATGTTGCTTGCAGGAATGTAGCTCACCCGTCAGTATGTTCAACTTGACTCAACGCTGAAGTGCATTTAACGATATCTGACCACCCGGTAGTACACGGTGTGCATCTGTACACGGTGCTACCGTATCGACGACCAACATTATGCAGAAGACCCCCGTTCGATTCGGGGCCGGGTGATATTGAACTCGGTGGGTCTTTTTTCTGGTAACGGTCATCCTTAAGTATTTTATTCGCTGACCCTGCGTTTTTTGCACGCAAACAATGGCGCATAGGCATAAGTAGGGCGTGAGCTTGCAGGAATATTAATCCAACTCGCCCGTTAGTACAACTTCATTCAACGCTGAAAAGTGAATTTACTCTAACAACGCAGAACACCAGCAGAACAACACCCGGTAGCACATGGCGTGCGTCTGCACCTCATAGTATGCCCTTCTTCCATCATCATGAAGGTTATGCAGAAGGCCCCGTTCGATTCGGGGCTGGGTGATAGCAACATGAGAAGAGTGGCTCTTTTTTTTGGAATTGGTCTGACTCCGTTTCAGAGGTTGATGTTGAATACACAGGTGCCTGTGTTGGCCGTGCGTACCGTTTCGTTCACCCAGGCCCTCAAGTTGAGCAGCCACGACCCATGGCCACGGCGCATCCTAAGTATTATTAGTTGCAGAAATCGAACTTACCCGCAAGCCCAGCTCGATTCGCTCTGAGCGAATACATTCAACGACGCGAAATACCATATATACCGCACTCAGTGTGCATCTGCTTCTACTGATAAGTTGTGGGGTTTCCCAGCCGGTAATTATGCAGAAGGCCCCCGTTCGATTCGGGGCTGGGTGATATTGAACTCGGTGGGTCTTTTTTCTGGTAACGGTCATCCTTAAGTATTTTATCCGCTGACCCTGCGTTTTTTGCACGCAAACAATGGCGCATAAGTAGAGCGTGAGCTTGCAGGAATATTAATCCAACTCGCCCGTTAGTACAACTTCATTCAACGCTGAAGTGAATTTACTCTAACAACGCAGAACACCAGCAGTACAACACTCGGTAGCACATGGTGTGCGTCTCCACCTCATAGTATGGCCTTTGTTCCACCATCGTGAAGATTATGCAGAAGGCCCCCGTTCGATTCGGGGCTGGGTGATGGCAAACCAGGGTGGCTCTTTTTTTCGAATGGGTCTGACTCCGTTTCAGAGGTTGATGTTGAACACACAGGTGCCTGTGTTGGCCGTGCGTACCGTTTCGCTCAGCCAGGCCCTCAAGTTGAGCAGCCACGGCCCATGGCCACTGCGCATCCTAATTATTATTAGTTGCAGAAATCGAACTTACCCGCAAGCCCAGCTCGATTCGCTCTGAGCGAATACATTCAACGACGCGAAATACCATATATACCGCACTCAGTAGGACATGGTGTGCATCTGCTTCTACTGATAAGTTGTGGGGTTTCCCAGCCGGTAATTATGCAGAAGGCCCCCGTTCGATTCGGGGCTGGGTGATAATGCCCTCTCTTCGTGTTTTTTAGGCTGGTGAGCATATTTTTCGTTGATATCCCCTCCAGCGTGACACCCAACAAATTCCTTGGAAGGCGCAGACGACGGAGCGCACATCCCTAACTAATTATTTTCCCGAAAATCCTGCTATAAGATCATTCAAGGTTCAACTTGAAGTTCCAGTTTGGTTCAACAGCGAAACTCCAGCTGATTCACATACTCACCCGCGCAGAGTATACTGTAGGTACATTAGAGGAAATGTGCCGTGCTTGGTGCGAATGTGACGCGTTCTCGGATGTACCTACGGTAAGAGTTTTGTATATCCTCCGCTTCTGATCTTGGCTAGATCAGAAAAGGCAGCTTGCTGTTGAAATCAAGGTAACCGCGGCCTTGACTCGGGAGATAGCAGAAGACCCTCGCAAACGCGCAGGGGATTCATTCGGCAACTACAAGGTAATATATATATCTCGTCAGGAACCAATGTAACTAAGTGAGGCGATAATTAGAACAAGTAAAGAGTAAGTAAGGCACAAACGAAGCAGAACACGGTAAATGCAGGAACTCAACATAGTAGGAAATTATTGCTTAGCTATTCCAATTAGCGGCGTCGGAGATAGCGAGCGATGGACTCGATATTCCAACAGCTTGTGGCTGCCATGCGGTGGGATTGATCACTGCGCAAGGATCTTGCAAGGATCAGAGCAGCCAGGGACGACCCCTGGGGGATAGAGCGCCTGGAATTCAAGCACGCCACTGCCGATATGCCTCCGGTTTGACGGCCGCACTGTCTACTAACCTCACACATCCTCTAACCTACTGGCACCCCGACTCTCCTCTCCTGACAATGCATCTCCCAGCCCTCCTCGCCGTCCTCCTCGGCGTCGCCCACACAAGTCTTGCCACAACCCCAGCCCCTCCCTTCCCGAGCATCAACCTGACCAGCACCACGCCCATCTCGCCGTTCGACCTGCCAGCCCTGCTCCCAGTGCCGTCGCACCCCGACCTTGCTGCTAGCGAGCTCATCCGCACGACGCTCGGGCACTACCCGCTCAGCATCGACGGTAAGAACTTCAAGGCGTTGGCACTGGTTTTCGCCGCCGACGCCGTGGCGAACTACTCGGCTCCGCTGAACGTGCTCACGCCACTGGCGACCATCCAGGCCGTGCTCGCGAGCAGCCTGGAGAAAGTGACGACGCAGCATTCGCTGGGCACGCAGGTGATCGAGGTCCTGAGTGAGAGCGAGGCGTTTTCCGTCACGTATTATACGGCGACACATTTTGGGATGGGGGTTTTCGAGGGTGAGATAGTGGTGGCGTATGGCCAGTATCAGGACTATTGGGTTCTTCAGCATCAGAGCTGGAAGATCCAGCATCGGAATCTGGTGTATATGGTTCGTTTACTTTCCCCTGCAGCAAGCCTTACTAATGTAATCACCCATTAGGGGCCACTCATTGGAAATCTCTCCATCTTCACTTAGATGCCTTTACATTTTTCACGAGATTTAGTTAACTCATAACAAAACTCAAGCATCAAGTAGGAAAATAGAGTAAAATCCATATATTTATGCCCGTCCGGTTCCATGCGCCCGTCTAGCTACAACTTTTCTTTCCTTCCCGTAACGCCATGCTGTTCCCATGCCTCCTTTTGTTCCACGCCCGTCCCAATGCTCCATCGTAAACGCGTAATTCATAAACGTCATTTCCACCGCTCAACCATGGCCATCTACCATTACGGGAGATACAACAAGCGGAGTCCTACAAGGCTGACAGCCCTTTATTAATTTTGGCTGCCGAACAGCTTCTCCTCCTCTGGTTCTCTCCCACCCACCGATCCACCAACATTTCCGGTGAAAGGAAGGATGGCCTGGTGGACCTGCAAGTGGTTGCCCAGCCTGATGCCGATGCCGACCCCTTCAACTCGGGACCGACAATGGAGCAAAGGGGCACGAGCGACAATCAACCGTCCAGCGATTCTTCGGCTTCTTCTGTATTGGATGTGACGGAAGACCGAGATCGAGTCTACGCCGGGGATGGATACGAAAAGACCCTTCTGCGTGACGCTCCACAGAGCTAACGCTTCTCGTGCATTTTTTTGGACCCTGGGCATCCAACCTAGAACACCTGGTAGCACATTGGAGTGCATCTGTATACCATGAGAGACGAATGAGATAATTATGCAGAAGACCCCGGGCCCGTTCGGAATCCGGGGCCGGGTGACATCGCATAGACATTTTTTTCAGGTCAGTGTGCATAATTCAATTGGATGAATCTTCTCTAGCGTGCGGCGGCGTGCTTTAAAACCGGTTCCAAGGCAGTCGGACGACATACCAAAATGATGGTTTGCACTCGCAAGCAAATTCAATGTTCCATTCAGATTCCAACCCAGGTTCAAGTTAACCTCCGCCTCAGCCTGACGGTCAATTCAGGCGGACCCATGCAGCTGACGCCGCAGAGCGCTGGTCAGCCACCCGGTAGCACACGGTGTGCATCTGCACCTCCGGCTGTTCCACTCCGGCAGTCTTGTGTGAAAGGCCCCGTTCGATTCGAGGCCGGGTGATTTTAAAGTCAGTGACTCCTCTTTCTTTCGGATGGGTCTGATTCCGTTTCAGAATTTCATGAGGTTGAATACACAGGTCCCTGCGTTGACCTCGCATATCTTTTCCGTTTCCGGCAACCAAGTCCTCAAGTTGAACAATCACGGCTCACGGAGCGGTACCAGTACGTTCAACATTACTACATAAATCCAACTCACCTTACAACCCCAGCTCGATCCGCTCTGAACGAACACATTCAACGACGCAGTCTAAGAATACTGGTACCACACCCGGTAGCACATGGCGTACATCTGCATAACATGATAAGTGTGCGGTTCCAAATTATGCAGAAGGCCCCGATCGATTCGGGGGCCGGGCTGGGTGGTGTGATTCCCGGCTGTGACATCTTTTTCGGACCGGTGAGTATAATTCCTTAGTCCCCTGCGTCGCGCCTGTCGATAAAATAGCTTCGGGTTTTTTAATTGTCAAGAGTAAGAAGAAAACAACCGCACATTATCAACCATCAAGGCCATTTGCAAGCAATATGGTCCAAGTTCAAAAGATCGCCGGCTTATTCAAGGTTCATGCTGATTGGTTTTCTCCTCCCGCACTGAGTAGATCGTTACAGTATTCTTCCTGCATCTGTACTCTATGCAACGTTACACAACTTGAACAGCAGGAGGAATAAGGGCATATAATTAATTGGGTATAAGTAGTTAGGGTGTATGACTCGACAGCTTTCGACATCGGGAAGCTGAATCAGGGTATAACTGGTCGGGGTATAAGTATAACTGGGCTCGGGTATTCTTCCTCTTCGTATGAGTGCTTCAATCGCCGTCCGTCAAAATTCCCAAAATTCTGGTTTTCAGCCAACGATCCCACTGGTGTTTCAAATTTGCGGGGCAGACGATCGACGATGATTTCTGTGACCACGGTAAGCTTTTGCTTCGCGCGTTGGACATATTTTTACCTTTCTCAACTCCTATATAGACATGTACAGGTCACATCGACGAACCGAGGGTTTAAACAGACCGACTCACCGTCACCAAAAATTAGGCGTTCGATTTGGGCCACTGAGGGCAGTAGGGGTTTGTCATGTAATGAACGACGAAATTTGGAAGTAAATTTCTCGTCCCAGTCAGTCGCGGATGCCGCCGTTGAACCCCGGAGCGAAAGCCCCTCCAATCTCTTGACAATCTGAGCAGCACTTGGGCGCTTCTCGGCCTCCCCATCCCAACAGGTTTCCAATAATTTCCAAAGACTGTCAAGTGCGGCGGTACCCGAACAGGCCTCTGCCCGCGAAGGGCGGTTACCCTCGATGACTTTGAGCATAACGGCGATATCGTTCGGTAATTCGTGAAATGGAACCCTTCCTGTCAGTATCTGAGGAATTATATTATTTGGCCAAGAAAACGAAAGAAAATAGAAGACCCTCACCTCGTAACAGGTGCAAGCGAACGCGTAGACGTCTGAGCCGAAATGACTCGGAATTCCTTTAAATAGTTCGGGAGCCTGATAGCGGGCTGTCCCTCCCCGAACATTTGCAGTGGAATGAGTGAATCGCACGCTCATGGTATTGATAATGGAGGCAAGCCCGAAGTCCCCAATGCAAGCCCTTCGAGACGGCGTCACCAAGATGTTGATCTATGCATGTTCAATGATCAGCGAAACATTCTCGACTTCATCCACTACGCACCGCCTTTAGATCGCCATGCACAACATTTTGCTCGTGCAGGTACTGGAGTCCAAGGGCTACATCCAATATCTACATACAGAAAATTTAATTTCTACAAATTCATCGGAATTAATGACTTACGAGGGAGAGACGGTCTGCGTCTGGTTCATCTCTTAAAAATTCCGTGACAGTTCCGTTTTCCATCCACGGCGACACCAGACACAATCGATTGCCTAAATAGTAAACACCGAAGAAGGGAAGCAGGTTCGGATGGCAAAACTGGCGCCAAATCAAGGCTTCTCGGCCGAATTCCTGGACGCGTGGTTACGTGAAATCATTAACAAAGACAATATGGATGGCCAAACCTTGAGTAGAGCCTGGATGTCCGAATCTTTGAATAGCCGCATCACTTTGACACAAACACTTCGTTTGCGGATCACGCCTTT